TATTGTTTTGTATTTTATAAGTGACTGACTGTACTATGAAGAGCATTATTTGCTAATAAAGAGTAATAATGATTCACCAAATAAAATATATCTTTTATCAACCTATCTAAATGATAATTCACCAATTAAAGTAATCAGCTTTGTTAAGGAACTGGATTTATTCAATTGACGTTTGTTAGGTGTGCATATATTTTATGAAGCAAAACGTATCATTTTAATATTAAAACCTCATGAAACTACTGACACATCTATTTTAGAAGGTCCAATAAATTTTGGATCATCCTATTATCGATGATGTGCTACTTTCACACTAAACAATTTTAGCTGTTGCTATATGGTTATTATACCATTTCAAATTGTTTAAGAAATTAAAAAAAAATTAGTGACCTCAGTAGATTTCACCTGTCGTATAGGAATTGTACCATACTGTTTGAGAACCGATTTGTGTAAACCATCCAAAATCGATATGCCTGTAGCTTGCCTGCTAGTTTTACCTCAAGTTCAACATTGATTTTATGATTTCTGGAACTGTTCAAGTATAATTTCTATAATCATCAATTTGAGTATGATTCTTTCATTTGTGATCTACTTTGAAGCGTGAAGACCATGTAGTCAGTGCATATTCATTATACACTCCATCACTCACCATTGGTTTATCTTTGGCTTCAGATGTGAATCTACAAATCATACTGTCATCTGCAGTGGACCACATTTTGAATTGTTGCTTCCACTGCTCCACAGATACTCCAGAATTGCACAATACTAATGCCCTTTTCCTCACGGTGCAGCAAGCAGTCACACCCACCAGTGACTTACCAGCTCCACACGGCAAAACAATAACTCCAGATCTGGCTCTTCCATTACCAAACATTTTCCTGAGACTTTTTTCTTGGTAAGGACGTAAGACTGCAGATGGTCTGAGGTCTACATTGATATCAGGATTGATTGTATCATTTCTAAAATAATAAAATCAACAAAAGTCACTGTAAAATACTTGTTTTGATTATTATTAATACAATGACTTGAAAAAATATTTTCAAAAGCAGGGTCACAAATTGAAAAAACAAATCAATATATTTAACATAAGAATTTAATAAAATTCTGAGATTAAGTTGGAATTCAATAAAATTGTTAGATTGGAGTTGGAATTCAATATAATTACCATTATTAAACTTCCACATCTATATCATGGAATTTTATTTAATTTTGTCAATAAATTTGTATTTTTTTTTCATGATTTTAACCCTTCGTACATTTAATCATGCCCTTTCGTTTACTACTGTGCTAGATATTATCAAAGGCAAAGTGGTAACGGTCACAGTGACTGAGTTCTTGCTCAAGTTGTTGTTCCATTTCCGAACGCGGTAACTACAATGCAAGTATTTGACTCAGGTTTTATATTATTTTTAGTGGGTGAGGCTTGGTTTCTCTCAATTGGGTTACCTGACCTTATTCTGTACCTGTAAGGACAGATAGCCAAATTTAATAATTGTTCATTGCCCCTTCTTTTCTATTAAAATTATCCCCATGTTTATAAATTTCCATTGCCTCTCTATATACCCTTGGATATATACTTTTATCAACTATTAGGTACTGAATCTTTGAATTAGACAATGTGAGTGCTTTCTTCGTTGGCAGGTTGGCTTTCCTTGTTCATCTTCCACTGCCTGAACCACTGTGCATGCTGTTTTCGGCGAGTGCATTGGCTTGGGATGTGGTGTGGTGTGGGATGTGTTGAGCAAACCGGCCATCGGATGCCTGCTTCCACGTAGCCCCGCTGGGTACGGGAATGACAGAATTACTTGTGGTTCTGTTATTTCCCACCTGAATGGCATCCCAACGATGGCTTAATCCTAAGGTGTGTGTATCCATGCCGAGAGGATGAATGACACTGAGCCTATCAGCTGTCTCTACGGAACCTTCGAGATACCGGGCGCCCTCTCGTAGTAGCATCGCTTTGTCACGGTAATGCGGGGCTCTGCCGTGATTGACCTTCTTTCCCTAGCTACTCGTGGGACCTTTATGGACAGAGTAAACTTAAAATTTCTTTCTGACGCTGAGTCTATAGAGGAAATGGATGTCGAGCTTACGACTCCAACTAACCTCCCTGTAAACTTAGATCAGAAGCGAGTCTACAGAGGAGACGGATGTCGAGTTTATGACTCCGACTGACCTCCCTGTAAATTTAGTTCAGGAGCGAGTCTACAAAGGAGATGGATGTCGAGTTTACAACTCCAACTGACCTTCCTGTAAATTTAATTTGGGAGCGAGTCTCCAGAGGAGATGGATATCGAGTTTACGACTCCAACGGTCCTCCCTGTAAATTTAGTTCAAGAGCGAGTCTACAGAGGAGATGGACGAGTTTACGACTCCAACGGGCCTCCCTGTAAATTTAGTTCAGGAACTAGTCTACAGAGGAGATGCATGTCGAGTTTACGACTCCAACGGACCTCACTGTAAATTTAGTTAAGGAGCGAGTCTACAGAGGAGATGGATGTCGAGTTTACGACTCCAATTGACTTCCCTGTAAATTTAGTTCAGGAGCGAGAGCTGCGGCGTACGCAGAATCTGTCTCAGGTGGGGGAACTAACCCCCATGAGCAGGTTAGCAAACGTTTGCGCTCAAGTGAGGTTTCACCAAAACCAGAGGCGAAAAAGCCCTTCACGGCTGAATCTAAGGCATTGTCAGGTGTAGCTGACGTGCAAAAACCCTCATATGGGAGGGTTGTCATGGGTATCAAGGTGAAAATCTTGCAACTTGATTATCCGACTACCTCATTAACAGAGCATATTCTTTGTGCCTGCCCCGCTGGGGACCGTATCAGGTCTTTAGAGTTCGGCAGAGACGTACTCTTACCATCTGACCTGAAAGACCACTCATCATTCAAAACTAATTGGCTTCGTTTAGAAGCTGGGTTTGTTTGGCTGAGTGAGAATAGGTGTGAGCCACAATGAACCCTTGCGGGTTGCGGTGGAGGGTTGAATAGGCCCACTCACTTTGGACCTAACCTAACCTTCATTAAGAGCATATTGTAGTAGAACATGCTGTAGTAGACAAAACGTCAGGCATAAAAACCTACAGACCATGGCCAAAAGAATCATAAAATAGCTTTCGCACAGTTATCTCCGGCCGTGAAAGTTAACATTCTTTGGATTTTAGTAGTATCAGATTTGAAACAAAAAAATTAATAAAACTGAAAAAGCAAATGTTCTAACCAAACTCACCTAAAATCATATTCGGCGAGGAGAGGATATTCAAGTTCAATACACCTCTTCTGAATTACTTCAATTTTTTCTTGATTCACTTCAAAGGAAACAGTCTCTAAGGAGGTATCTTCCTCTTCTTCTTCATTGTCCATTTTCTCATAGAAATTAGTGATATCATCGGGAACTGTATTTCCTTCTCCACTGTTTCCTTGATCTCCAGATGTACCAGCTTTCACACCAAAAGAAGGGATATTTTTCTTATCTTGAACCTGAAATTTTGGTAGTGTTAGTCTGGAAACAAAGTGGAGCCAAATCTACATGCATACTTGGTAACCTATACTTGACAATGGATAGTGCAATGGATAGTGCGAATTCAACTGGTACTACTGAGTATAAATGAATCATTTTCAACTGTTTCATATTTTTTATTCTCTTAAATTTTTTTCAATAAACATGTATGTTTCTTTGGATTGTTATCATTATTTTTTTTACTTAAGAAGGGGTTACTGGTCAGACCCTGTAGAAGCTCTGACCCATTCAGAGAGCATGCCACTATCGTCAATCAATGAATAGTCTGCACAATTGTGAAGTAATAACAATAAATCGTTTGAGGGAGAACAGCTAAAACCTTTCTTACCCAAAAACTATTCTCTCCTAAAAATGAACCCCTTTCAATTCAATAAATTGTTCATTTCTCAATAATAAAGGTGCATAATCCACTAATGCTCTGTTCTGAATAATGTAAACTCTGATTTCACATTCTGATTGAACTTTGTATGTTGTGATTGGTGACGACATATTGTGAACTGGGGCTATTACAGAGAGAACATAGACTCCAGCAACTGAAAAAGGATGCAATAATTCACATTTTGGCATCTAAGTCAGTAATACACTCAAATGTTTCAGCAAATCTTCAATCATTTCCAGAAAGTATGCAACCTAAATCACTGAAGATGTAGTGATAGTTACGTTCTCCAGTACTGAGACATACTCAAAACTTTGTGTGATACAAATTGTAAAGTAGGCACAAGTAACATGACAGACAACCAGTCTATATGGTCTTCATATAACAGAGAGTTCTTGAGTTCAACAAAAAGATTCCCATAGATTTCTTTAACCAATAAAAATGTGGTAACACTTTGAATGGACCAATCCTTAGAATCGATTAGTGGACTCGTCAATGAATTTAAGAATTCACCATAATCTTGCTGTGTGGTGTGTGATACATTTCTGTCTCTCAACAGTGACTATCAATTTAAAAAAAAAAATTCTCCTACTTTTATCCATCTACCGATATCCATAGATAAAAAATTGGGAAATTTTAAATAAGCCTAAACAAGCATTTCACAAACCAAATGTAATGAGTCAAGAATAGGATAAATTGAACCTTTAAAACCCCTTCGATAGCACAAAATATGTAAAAGTAACCAATTGTCAAATACAGATTTCTTTAATTCCTCAGTAATATAAGTTATCAATTTTCATAGAATATTTGTTGAAGAGGTTACATTAAGCGTACACGTACCTGTTTGATGAATTCTTCACTTTCATTTTCAACATTTCTGCGCAATCTACACTCTTGAATCACTGGATCTTTAAGTAACTTTTGCAAAATTTCAGGAAAGGGACTTTCTACAAAATATTTGTTGTGCTTGAGAACAAGCTTAACCTTACCATAAGAGAGGGTACACAGTTTAATGAACTCTATAATACCATCAGGAACGCTAGTCTTGCTTAACCTCTTGAGGTATTCAATAATATCATTGGTTTGCAAACCAACACTGACAGCTGCATAAAGGGAATATGCCGTCAGCTTATATTCATGAATATGTTCAGGGCGACAAACCGGTTCAGAAATGGCAATGAGGAAATCATGAGCATGTCTATATACTGGAGAAAAGGATTCTAAGAAGATATGACCATTGGGGGCCACCCAGAGTGGCCGAGAAGCATTGTCTGGCTTCAGGATCATTTGGGAACGATAGTCTTTAGCCCCAAACTCATCTTCTTGAACAGAGTTATCATTTTTTTCAGCATCTCTTGCTGCCGCTCCTGGAACAAATGATTCAGATGTTTCATTATCATTTGTATCTTCCTCTTCATATGTCCAAGCTTCTTCCTCCTCCTTCTTGCGTCTTTTGGAAGGTCGTCCTTCGTTTCTACCGGCACCACTACGTTTTGGGGGCCCCATATAAGTATGACAAAATCGAGTCTTTTTGAATTATATCAGCAACAAATCTACTATGAAACAATTGCTTTCGAATTAGATTTTGAAAAAATCTTAATATGCGTTGTTTTTTCCGTTAGTTAGACTGACTATAATCTTTGCTATAATAATTACAAATTAACCAATGTCAACTTGCTTTTTTGCACTGCTTTTGACAATCATAACTGCCAACTAAAGATCTTGAAATGGGAAAACACTATAAAAATATCTACTCACACTCTGATGATGATTGCCATTCTATACTCCTATTAAAATGTTAAAATCCAAAATATCAGCAAAACTAGTTATTAACAAAATGCAGAAAACAAAAAGGTTTTCATAAAATACAAAATTCAAATTCTTCTTCTTCTCCAATACCACAATCGTGTTGTTTACTAGGCTTATCGTGTAGGTTATTCTGGTTCTCTGCTCGGACTGTTCCTAACAGTCAGAAAATAGTCACCCAACTGTAAACTGAACATTTTATCGCGTTACCCTTTTCAGGACACAAAAGATTCATTGATTTTGGACGATTCGAAACAGTAGGTACAAACTGAAAACCAGAACAAACCTATTGAGATTGTAGAACTCATTTTTTGTGACAACAGTATCAACTGTTTTGGTAGGTTAATTATACTAATATCCATACTGTTCAGTATTTGTATTATTGTGTTCAATATTATTTGCTTATGAGTGTTTTACCTTGTGTATTGTAATATTTAGTTTGATATTGGTTGGTTGGTAGCCAGGCGGTTCGACGTGGGTGCTCTGTTCACTCACTCGAATTGACTGCCGTGTTTGTCGGTGGTTCAAGCCCCAGTCTGAACGATCGATTTTCACTTGCTATTGTCCAACCCGTGTCAGGAATCACACGTTAAAATGTAAGACCTCGTTAATCCGTAGCGCGTACAAGTTTCGACTTCTGAGGGTTGTCGTTCGTACGAGTGCGACAGCTGGTTAACGGAAAAACAAATTTTAAACAGATTTCAAACAGATATTTTTAAATAGATGTTCAGTCGTTGTAAGTGGATCAAAAACAATAATAAAAAACTTTTGTGACTGACATTGATGTTCAGTATTTTATTCTTCGAGACCAGATTGAACCTTGAGATTTCAAGAGGTATATAACATTAATTAGCCCTACGCCTTTACCGAATCAGCCTATTGAGAAATGTCAAAAAATTGAAGAAGTGAGGGATTAGTAAAAAACGGATACAGAAAGCGATTCCTACCAATATTGAAGGGGAACAAGACAGTATTTCTTCACGTGGCTCACAGTTGGAGAATAATAGCACCGGTACCGTATAGAAATAAACGCAAGTAAATTCACTCATTCACATTTTGATTGATATTATACATTGTTGGTATTTTATGTTTGTTGGATGAGCTTAGATGTAATTTGCGGAATATAATAATATTCTTACTTAGAGTTATAAACCGTCTTGAAGTCGAGTGTACTCGAGTGTACTTTTAGATGCTTATCGAAAATACTTGTTCGACGCTACAGTGATGCATTTTTATTTACAGACACGATTTGATTGATTACGGATGAAATACATTTTCACCCACTTCCCACGAACGTGTTTTATCAAAAAAGACGAAGAAATACCGTTGATATAGTTATTATTTCTCCAAAAGACGTCGACCTGCAAACAGACGAGAAAGATATTGACGATGATTGTACTCAGGAAGATGCAATTTTTCCCAATGATGTTCGAGGAGAAATTGAAGTGCAGTGGCGTGACAGCGACAGTGAAGAGATGGCTTAGACCGGAAAACTACTCTTGCCAGTAGAAACGTTGGTCCACGAGCCAAGAAGCAAAATCTGTCCATACCAAAATGAACCAAGAATAATATAGCTTCCCAAATTTCTGCTACCGCAGTTGTCGGTTGATTGGTCAAAACACCAACACTGACATACAAACTTAGCAAGTGAACTTTTGGCAATAGTTGACTTTTAACAATAGGTGGTTCCACTTATGTTTCGCTTGCGGTTACACAGTTAGTTTTATCAAGTACTTTTCTTCGGTACTCACATTTTGTCTTCAATCGAAGACCACCTGACCGGTACTGACGATGCCCAATTAAATTCACCTTACTAGTAGGTACATAAGGACATATTGTAAAATTTATTCAAGACTAGTAGATAAGGCAATATGTGAAATTAATTTTATATAGCTTATAATATTTCAATTATTGGATTAACCAGACTATTACATAAGGACACATTATAAAATTAATTTAAGACACTCAAGACGCAGGCGCAGGTACCTAGAACAGGTATCTATGGTATAAATAAGGATAGCTTTGTAAGTATGATTAGTTTGATATTCCTCTTGAAGATGATCACTTGGTGATCGAAACACGTGATGAAGTGTTAAAATAACGGTTTGGTGTTGGAAAAAAACCCCAGTGTAATATTCATTATTACTACACCAAAGGTTCCAAACAGTGCATCACAAATGCCCAATAGGCTGAAACAGCTGCCTACCGGTGGCTCTTAGATTGAAATCAATGTGGGAATGATCAGAATGGTACTTATCTATTTATCTTTCAATTTTCATGGAATTATTTCCCAGCGGCATGCCTGTATTAATATTTTTTGATTTCATATCTTTGTAGAAACATGTGGATTCTTTTTCCAACGGCATTCCAGGATATAATCCCAAATTTCAGCAACCGCAGTTGTCAGTTGATTGGTCAAACCACCAACACTGACATAAAAACTTGGCAAGTTGACTTGGGTGTCACACCAATTGGTGGTTCAAGTACTTTTCTTGGTCATTCACCTGCCCGGTACTGACGATGCCCAACAGGCTGAAACAGCTGTCTACCGGTGGATATTTAATTAGAATCAATATGGAATGAACAATATTAAAAAAATAAAAAAGTATTTCACATTGTATATCGACATACGCCATGGATGACATTTCGGGACGAAACCTCTTCAAGAAGGGGGCAATGTAATGAATCTGAAGCCGGCCCTGACCGTTGTCTCAGACACCAAACATATGACTCATCGCGAAAGGAATGCACTCGACAAGCCACCGCGAATAATCTAGATCAGTGCCGAAACCCCCTAGAGAGATCCGGAGCGTTCGTTGACGATATAAAAAGGCCGCTCTCCGTCCCGAGCGGCAGTCAGTCAGTCAGTCGGAGTCTGTATCTAGAAAGTGAATCGTGCGTTTAAAAGAAGAATTCTAACCGTGAAGATAAATTAAGCGTTAGTTGCTAAGTGTTGTATATAAATTAGTTGTAATAGTGAAATATTGTTAAAAATAAATTTGTTTAAGACAGTTAATTCATTAATTCGTTACAATTGATGATCAGAAGTGGATTTTTAAAATAAATTTGTGAACGATTGGTGGACAATCTTTGTATTACGGTGAAATTGACTATAAAACTTTCGCGCAGAGAGACTGGTGATTGTGTTTCGCGAAGTGTACCGGAGTACGGAAACATAAACTGATAGATCTTTCTCGCGAAAAATAGACTTGTGAAAATAAATAAGTGTTTCGGACTCGATTAAAATAAGTGGACATTTTCAGTTTTGTGGAAAATAGATAATAAGAGACAAAATGTGTTCGAGGAAAGTGCGCCTAGTGGACTTGAAAGTCGCTGAATTGAAGCAAGAATTGGAGGAGAGAGAGCTAGATTTTTCCGGAAAGAAATCAGTACTCCAAAAGAGACTATGGGATAGCTTGATTGAATCAGGAGAAGATCCGGAAGCATATTTATTCGAAGTTTCTGGGGGTGATTTGAGTTCAATAATGAGCAAACTCGATGAGAACACCAAAACGCTGAAAGATGAAATTCAACAAAATTCGGTAAGTCTGGAGGAGAAGCTTCTGGAAAATTCGAAGTGCCTGGAGGAGAAGCTTCTGGAAAATTCGAAGAGTTTGGAGGACAAGCTCCGAAAAAATTCGGTGAGTTTGAATAATGAACTTCAAACAAAATTCGAAATGCCTGGTGGAGAAGCTTCTGGAAAACTCAAAGAGTTTGGAAGACAAGCTTCTGGAAAATTCGAAAAGTTTGAAAGATAAATTTCTAGACAATTCGAATAGCTTGAAGGAAGAACTTCTAGAAAATGCAGAAGGCCTAAAAAAAACTTTGTAGCATGGCGAGCCTACTCGAAGAAAGGATCGAGACAGATATAGATGTTCAGGCAGAAATCAGCAAGATAAAGGAAAAAATTAACAAGTTGCGTAACCAAATCGTTAATTCTGTCTATCCCACGGAAACGGTTACCGAAAACTCAATTCCGGAACTGAAAGATATCAAAGGAAAGCTAGGAAAGCTCTCCATGAAGCCGCCCCAATTCGACGGAAAAACTCCCCGGAAAAATTACCGCCGACAATTTGAAGCTGCAGCCAGAGCAAATGGATGGAATGCAGAAGAAAAGGAGGTAGCATTAACACTGGCGTTGCGTAGAGAAGCAACGAATATTTTGCAAAACCTTACTGCCCAAGAACAGGAAGACTATGACCAACTCATAAAGCATCTTGAGCTACGGTATGGACAGGCACACCTAGAACACGTTTACCATTCACATCTGAAGGACCGTTGCCAGAAATCAGGAAAATCCTTACAGGAGTTTGAAGCCGACATAGCTCGATTGGTCCGTCTGGCATATCCTGCTACACTGGAAAATGTAATGGAGCGGTTAGCAGTTCAGGCATTCTTGGATGGACTTCGCGACCAAGAAACGAGGCAGGCCTTGACGCTAGCTCATCCCAAACATCTCGTGGATGCACTGGCAACCGTTTTGTGGCTCTGATATTGAGGCCACCATCAGAAAAGTAATGAAAGAAGTGTTGCCTGAGAGGAATCAAATAAGATGCTGGAACTGTGGAAAAATTTGACATGTGCGTAGCAAATGTCCAGCTTTCAAAGAATCGACACCAAATCAGGAAAACTAGAGGGGGTCGATGAGAAGGGGCAATCGTCGACCTGTATCCAGCAAGCCCCCGTAAAAAACGCATATGTTGCCGTTCACCAACGACAAGACAAAGGTGTTTTCGTAGACGGCCTCATCAACAACGAGCCTTGCACCATGCTGCTAGATACAGGTGCAACGAGAACCATTTTTGGCCAACCTTTGCCAAAACACCGGCAAGAATTGAACCGCCAAGCTGGAAGCTACACACCGTGACAGGGGTGCCAGCCACTGTACTTGGAGAACTACCAATTGAATTGGTGTTGGGCAGCACAAAATTGAAACATCGTGCATTGGTGGCGGACATCGAGGACGATGCGATCATTGAAATGAACATAATGAATTCCAGAGGGTTCGAGCTGAATTTTCAAGACGGCGTCCTACGTGTCGGCGGAGAAGAGCTGGTGCTTCATGGAAGAAACGAAGAGACTATCAGGGTCCTGCTGGCTGAAGACTTGTGCATACCTGAAAGGACTGAAACCATCCTGGAGGCTCGCT